CATATCCATATCCATATCCATATCCATATCCATATCCATATCCATATCCATATCCATATCCATATCCATATCCATATCCATATCCCTACCCCTACCCTTATCCCTATTCCTATCCCTATCCCTACCCCTATGCCTATCCCTATCACTATCACTATCCCTATCCTTATCCCTATTCCTATCCATGTCCATAGACAGATAAATCATGCTCTACTCATTTAACCGATCCTGCCAAACTGTTCTCAAACTGAATGTCGCAGCGACTAGGCTCCATGCGAGAGGGACCTGTTATTAGGGCACTGGGAAAGGAAAAAAGCAAACGCAACACTCAACACTGCAAAGGCATATAAAGCATATTTTTGGACATGCTTTCGCCTTGAGTTTTTGGCTTGGCTACCCAGCCAAGGCAGTCAGCCAGCCAGCCAGCCAGCTAGCCAGTCAGTCAGCCAGCCAATGGCTAAGCCAGCTTGGGTGGCGTGGCCGTTGAGGGGGCTGCGAGGCAGTTAGTAAGCGAAAGCAGCCCCAAGAAAGAAATACGGAATCTAAAATGATAATAAAATATTCATATTAATCTGCTTGGCTCATAAAATATTCAGCTGCGTAATTGTTGGCATTACGTAAAGTAAGAACAAGACGTAGCCAGTTAGTGCCACGCCTACAGTTATGAAACAACGGCACAACAAGAAAAGGAAGCAGTCGAGAATCGGAGAGCGAGGAGTGAAGCGGCTGGGAAGTGTTGTGCAGGAAATGCCAGGGCAAAAATCTTGCAAGTTTGTAATTTACACCTGGCTGCGTTTTTTGTCTGCCTGCCTACCTGGCTGGCAACGTGCCGCCCACCCTGCCCTGCCCTGCCCCCTGCACTGCCTTGCCCCTTCACAATCCGACAGCCTATTTGCCTGGCAGATAGACTGACTGGCAGGCCTTAGCTCAGCTTTGCGCTTTAAACAAAAGACTTTTGGCTTTAAGGCAGACCAGATATGCTATAGTGTGTGTGTGTGTCTGTGTGTGTGTGTGTGTGTGTGTGTGTGTGTGTGTGTGTGTGTGTGTGTGTGTGTGGCTTGTGGCCAAATCCTATTAAGCTATTCATAATTGCTCATAATTTTGGTTGATTTCATTAGCATATGTAACAATTTAATTTGATGTGCGAAAAGCAAATGAAACTCTTTACACACACACACACACACACTCACTCACAGACTGGCACACACACACATACTCATATGCATAATCAATGATGGCTCATTAACCTGGCTGACAACTGTTGTTGCTGTTGTTGTTGCTGTTGTTGTTGTTGTTGTTGCCGCTGTTAATTACGCATCGCATATGCGGTCATAAAATATACAATATCATTCTCATCGCTTGCTTTTATATCAAAATGACGTCGATTAACACCTTGCGCCGTGTACCTACGTACGTACGTGAGTGTATGTGTGTGTGTGTGTGTGTGTGTGTGCGTGGCATTAAATCTGATTAATTTGATTTATCGTAAAATATTTAAAGCGACACTGCGGCTGCCCACAGCGGAAGTTAATATGGCCCATGCGGCGTATGCGTAATATGCGTTGAAACTTAGCTTCGATAAGACTTGGGCACAAACGATTTCACAGCAAATTAAAGCGTGCTAAAGACGAAGATACCCTGCAATGAAGCTGAAGCGTCTATTTGAGCAACTTCAGTTAGCAGATTCGACTTGCATTAACTTGCATTAACTTTCCCAACCTGATCATGAATTATTTCAGATTTCAAGCTTATCGATTTCAAATCTTATCGATTAATAGATAAAAACACATCGATATTCAATACATCACGGATTTATTCATAGTTATACAATTATTTGAAACTAGAAACAGCTGAATCTCAGGCGTTTCGCACAAACGCACAACCCCTCAATTGGTTCAACTGGATTCCGTGCGCGAAAACTGTCTACAGCTGAGGAATATACAGACAGAGAATATATTGAGTGAGACACAGGACGATATATGTATATGTATATGCTTACCCCCTTAGTGGCGAAACTCTTGTTTGCGTCTTTACTATATATATAACTAGAGGAATGATGATTGTGATATCTTCGCAAAAACGAATTTAGCTAACTTTTCCAGATGTGCGACAAAACGAAATCATTAAAAACGAAATCTATATAGAGAGATTAGCTATAGTAGTACTTACTCTATCGGAGCATAATATTGAATTGAATGTTATTGTCGTCTTAACAGTGCCAGCTTCTCAATATCTATCTACCAAACAAAAAAGTTAATAGATATGTAATATATGTTTAGACATATAATATATAGATTCGTACTTACCTAATAATCTGTCCTTTTTTTTTCTTGTTGCATATTGCTTAACATTAAATTGTATTGTATTAGTGTCATAAAACGCGTTCCATAGTGTGCATTGTTTAATGTTTTTGTTGCTTTTGTTAAGATATTTTCTTATTATGTTCATTTGAATGCGACTAATCCAACAAACTGTAAATAGTATGGAAATAATTAACCCATTAATTTTATTTTCAAATATTTTTAGAATACATAATGGCATTAATATTCATTTCTGATTAAATGGCACTGGCAGTCAAACTGATGGACAAATATTTATAAGAGGGACCAACATGATGCTTGTAATAACGTAAGGCAAGCTCTTTCGGTGATACATAACTCTCTACGCCCACATCTCTACTTTACGTCAATCTCTATGTTACGATTACCTCCCTATGTTACGTTCACCTTTCTATGTTACGTTCAGCTCTCTATGTTACGTTCACCTCTTCAAGGTTACGTTCACATCTCTAAGTTAAGTTCATCCCTCTACGTTACGTTCATCTCTCTATGTACTTCCATTCTTTACGTTATTTCCATCTCTCAACGTTACGTCCAACTCTCTATGTTATGTCCATCCCTCTACGTTACGTCTTAGGTAGATGAACGTTACGTCCATCTTACGTCCGTTCTCTACCTCTCATCCATTCTTTATGTTACGTCCATTTTTTTACGTCATTCATCCACTACGTTACGTCCATCTCTGTACGATACGTCCATCTCTCTACGTTACGTCTATTCTCTAAGTTACGTCCATTCACTATGTTACGTCCATCTATATAAGTTACGTGCATCTATCTACGTCACTTCTATTCTCTATGTTACATCCATTCAGTACGTTACGTCCCGTCACTACGTTACTACATTCACTACGCTACGTCCATCTATTTAAGTTACGCATTCACTACGTTACGTCCATCTATCTAAGTTACGTGCATCTCTCTACGTTACGTCTATTCTCTATGTTACATCCATTCAGTACGTTACGTCCATTCAGTACATTACGTCCCGTCACTACGTTACGTCCATCTATTTAAGTTACGTTCTTTCTCAACGTTACGTCTATTCTTTGAGTTACATCCATTCAGTATGTTACGTCCATTTTCTACGTTACGTCTATTCAGTACGTTACGTTCCGTCACAACGTTACGTCTAGTCACTACGTTACGTCCATCTATTTAAGTTACGTCCATTCTCTACGTTACGTCCATCTATACGTTTAACTAGCTCTACTTCCTTCAAAAAAAAATTACTTATGTTTCTTTTCGACTTACCCCTTTGCGGATCTGTGGTACCATCACATCAAAGAGAAATCAGCAAAGACGCAATACTTTAGGCGAGTCGCCAGTTCTCGGGGTTGAGACATGTGTATTTGATATGTGTGGAAACTACGAAATGGCAAGCACTATAAAACGGAACTTGGAAATGAATCACATCTAATAGCTTACCGTGTATGTGTTCTTGCCAATATATTGTAACTAGTAATAATTGTAATTTTTATAAGTGCTGGGTGTATTGTCTTTTACTGTTTTGTTACTCTTGTTTGACTTTTTTTTTTTTTTGTTTTTTCCTTCATCTTGTTATGGTTCTTGTTATGGGTTTTATACTTGCATATTTACTTTTTTTGTTTGTTTTTTATTTTTGTGCAACTCATGATACACTTCTGTGTACTACAAATAATTTTTAATTTTCCAACGGCAAAAGAAAAAAAAAATTTTTACGACACGAAATTTTTATAAACACATTTTATGAATTTTTTCCGAAAATTTCATTTCAACTGTGAATTTGGTAAACTTTTGATGAATTTTTGTAAATTTCACATTTTCACAAAAAACAAAAATTTTTGAAAAAAAAATAGGAGCTCCAGCTCATGCCAGAGCTCAGACTGAACTGAGAATATTCTGAATGCTCCGGAGGTGCCTTAACTTTTGTACAAGCAAAGCCTACTACGATTTCGTGTACATTTTGCAGCCTACTTGGATTTCATACAAATATGTATTTACAGAGTCTTGCATACAGCCTTAACTTTTCTCTGAGCAAAGCCTACTAGGACTACTGCTACTACTAATCACTCATAGAAGTTCGTTTATATATATCCCTCGTCATGTTCACTTTCCATATTCACTTGTATCTTCTCGAAGTTTCTATTCCTATTGCTCTCAAGCAATCAACACACACACACACACACACGCTGCTTTTCGACAAGAGGTCGTCTCATTCTCTCTCAGTGTCACCCGCTACTAAGCTCATCTGCAGCTACATATATGCGTCTCATTCGCACTCAGCTGGAGTGCCACTTTGAGTATACCAAGCATGGTGCTGCCAACTTGCGTAATACCTCCAACACGCCTGTAACAATAGGACGCTATCTTGTTAGACAACACACAATTACTTCATATTACCAGGCAATAGCATCCCACATTATATTTGTGATACATTCGAATAGTAAATATCTAGAAATGCGACTAACTGCATTTCTCAGTGAAGCCAGATTTATACACGAAATGCAATATATTCAGCAATACAATATCTGGTAATTTTTCAATATTAAAGGCGAAGATACGCTTCAGTTCGGCCTTTATCAGCTAGGGATCCAGGCCGATATAGTAGATAACCGCTGCGATGGTCTCCGAGTAGGTCTCCGCCGTACATCTGCGTGTATATCATTTGGAGCACCTTCCGTCGACATTATGCATTAGTGATGCTGGGTAAGTGGTCCATGGAATCCTGTTTGTGTTCACATCATTTTCTGGATCGGCTTCGTCATCCGAAATGCATCATTTCATTTATTTCTTCTAGTCCAACTTATTCGAATTCGCCATACAAGGATCTGTTCCGGCTCTATCGATCACTTGACGTTTATCCGGGAAGCAGCATTCGGCCAATTTATATCAATTTTGCATTGCTCATGAAAATAATGAAGAGATCTGCCCGACGTATGTGGGTCGCCGGCAGAGTAGTCAATCGACCAATACTATCGACTGTTTCAACTGTACTAATTGTCTATCATACCAGCCAGACGTCCACTCGTTTACGGAGTCAAAAGAGAGTAGATTAGTTTAGATTTTTTTGCGGATCTTATATCTACTTACCTAGACTTAGAAATAAATATTATTTTTGATAACTGTATAGAATCAGCTTTAAAAGATATCGATAATATTAATCTATGGAATTATTGCACAGGATTTTATTATGAATTATGAAATATTAAAGAAGTTGAGTGCAATTCCGTCAACACGGGACTTCAGGTGGTAGCCTGAAAACTTTAGCGAAGGTAAACTACTTTGAATGTTAATATATAGATAGTTATAGATTGAATTTCAATATATAGATGGATATGATGTTTTGCAGTTCCTTAAAGGGCATCTGGAGGTGTTAGATGGGATCTAGGGAAACTGCTGTAGAGTAGATAAACCAAGTTCATGATAATGTTTAAAGCAAAACAATGAATATTACATTCAGATGCAATTACTTAGATCTCTTGCAGATATTTGAATTCGATTGGATTTCAACTGCCATCGAATTCGATGGACTTTAATCCTTTGTTTAAGAATCGTATCATTTATTTGAATAAACCCAAATTTTAATTTTTTGCTGATCATTAAATGGTGAACAGAAGAAGAAGAAGAAACGATATATACGCTGTTCGAATTACACAGAATTTGCCTTAGGCTTGATTGGCTTTTGTTGCTGTTGCTGTTTCTGCTGTTGTTGCTGTTGCTGTTGTTGCTGTTGTTGCTGTTGTTGCTGTTGTGGCTGTTGCTGGTGGAGGTGATGACGGTGGTGCTGGCGATGATGGAGTTGCGCCTTGAGTTTGCTTAATGGCCTTCTCTAATCTGATCTGCAGCTCACGATCGATGCGCTCCTTGGCGCGAAACACCTTCGATTGGAGGTAAAGGGAGCCGCCAGTTGCCTTCTCGTTGGCCCGGAACAGATGCTCATAATTGCCACGGATCTCGGCCAGATTGCTCAGATCCTTGACATTGAGTATCTGCTGCGCCTCATGCAGTGTCATACCCTTCACAGCCGGATCGTGAGTTTTCGCTCTACTCAATCTATTTGCCCGATGCTGTTGGGCCGCCGCTCGCGATGCGTCGATTTCCTGACGCACCGCCTTCACGAAGGCGCGACCCACCGATTGGGCGCCATAAACAAGGATCTTCACGAAATGCTTGGCCATTTGCTCCCGCTCCGTCTCGCCCCCGTTCTGCCTGGGAGTCTGTGCCTCGATTCGATCCAGAGAATTTTACAACTTTTCTCAAACATTAACGTACAAGTGTACTGAATTTTCTAACCGAATATAACTTAAACGTGTGTGTACTTCCCTACGTGTTTTGGATTTTTGTCGATTTTGTTCTGTTTCTTGTATATGTGACTTTTTTTTCTTGTTTTTTTTTGTTGTTTATTTTAGATGTGTGACATTTATGGAAAAGATTTGAGATGCGGGAGAGTGAATCTAAGGCCGATTGAGCGAGTCTCCCATTGTTGCAGATTCTTCTTCAACAGATGTTCAAAGCGGGGTATATAGACAGACAGAGAGAAATAGATAGAGAGAGAGAGAGAGAGAGAGAGAGAGAGAGAGATATAAACGAAAGAGAAAGAGAGTCAAAAAAGCAGGAAGACAAAGGGGTATATATACAGACAGAGAGAGAAAGAGAGAGAAAACAAGAGAGGTAGGGGCATAGAGAGAGGGAGAGAGAAAGAGTGTTAGAAGCATAAAGAAAGATTGAGAGACAAAGGTAGAGCAAAGGGGGACAGACAAGGGCTAGAAAGTTAAAGAAAGAGAGGGAGAGAGACAGATAGAGATAGAGGTTGTGAGCCTAAGGTACATATAGAGAGGCGGAGAGAGCGAGACAGAGCGTCATTGAGCCTAAGAGACATGCCGAGAATTAGTAAGACAAAAAGAGATACAACCCTATCTATTGAGTTCCCCCATCTGGGATGCAGTTGTAAGACACAGCAAGCCACTTTCGAGCCATCAGAATGTGCGAATGTCTGACTGTGTGTGTGTGCGTAAAGGTCGTAAACAAATTATGCGCAAATTGACTTAGTTCCGGAGAATGGACAAACTGGCGGGAGTGAGACAACAGCGAGTGTGCAAGCGAGATGGACTAAGATGTGATATGATGTGATGTGCGTCAGGTATTAACATAATTACAATAATGACTTGTTGCCGGTCAATGTCAGAATGCAGCCCACAAAATACCAGATGCCAAATGCCAAATGTCAAATGCCGAATGGCAATTGTTAGTCTGCCCGCTGAGACTCCGGAATTTGTGGCCATAATTTTGAGAGTCAAGTTGTCAGCAGTTGTTGTTGTTGTTATTGTTGTTTTGCATTTGCATAAGCTCGATTTGGAGTGGCGTCTTTTTAAAGCACAGCCAACCGTATCGAATCGCATCGAATCGAATCTAACCTCACATTACGTAATGCCAACGAGTCGCAATTCCACGCCCTCGATTTGCGTTGCCTTGCCTTGCCTTGCCAGCCGCTTTCCCCTTTAGCCAAGCGCCGCACGGCCACATTGGCAATTTACGGAGTGTGCCCAGCCCAGCCGCAAATGCACAACAATTCCAATTGCTGTGCCGCACAGTGGCTCACGACGAGCCGGAAAATACAATGGGCAAAAGCGAATGTGCATGTGTTTTCCCCATGAGGAGCTAAGAATTTGTCGAGTTTCATCTTGACAATGACAAGATATCATCTGTATAGCATTGCTAACTTCTTAATCGATATCTATTGATATCGCTATTGTGCGATAATTAACATTTGTTTGCCTGCTCTGCTCCACAGTGTGCATCGCCTTTTCCATTTGCCGTTGAAATTCACAAACTGTAATTGATCACATTTGCGTTTGTCGTTTGATTTCATTGTCTTGTGCGTGCAGCGGCATGGGGCCTGGACTCCGATGGAGTTGCGGGATTTGAGGTTGGCTGGCGTGGGCCGCTGTGCACACGCCTAGGCCTCCATTCGCCTACAATTTCCAAAAAATGCCACATCTGATGGGTTTGGTTGTTATTGCTGCTGTTGCTGCAGTTGCTGCTGTTGCTGCTGTTGCTGCTGTTGCTGTTGCTGCTGTTGCTGTTGCTGTTGCTGTTGCAGTTGCTGCTTTCGCGTTAGCTCATTCATTATACAAACACCTCCACCTGACCATGGCCCACGGTGCGCCTACAGCATAACAACTCTCGCTCTCCCTACCTCTCTCTCTCGCTCTGTCTTCTCTTTCTGTCTCTCGCTTTCATTTTGACTGCATTTTGCGATTAGTTGCCATTTAAACTGCTGTTGCCCTTTTGTTCCCCTTGTTTTCACATCCATACCAAACCCATTACCCTCTCTCTCTCTCCCTGTCTCTTCCTGTCTCTTCCTCCTTGGCTCTATCTCGACCTGCTCTGATCTGTCGCTGTTGGTTGCCAAAGCATTTTGATTTCCGCACTGCATCCGGCAGTTTTAATCCCTGAACAGCAGCAGTTTACCGAAAAAACAAGGAAAAATTAAGCAAATAAGAGGCGATTTCAAACAAATTGCTCGAATAGCAGATACCCTAGACATCGTGTGAGCGTCCTTTGAGTTGATGAAGTAGCTCTAGAGTCTGACGAATGCAGTTTTATCGTAGAATGCAATAGATTTAGCCAATTGGACAAGCGCTTGTCAAGTATCTGCTAAATTTGACAGCCAGCTGACTTCAAAGAAGACGCCTACTTAGCATTCCGTGTTATGTTTACAGTTAGAGTAAAAGTTGATGTCAGCCTTAAGCCAAAACTGATTCATTGTTGGCTTAAAGTCTTTGTTTCCTTGCACAAGTAAGCTGACAGCATGTTAAGTTTAACAAGCACTAATATCTCTTATTATTATCATGAGAGTAGCAAAAGCAAATCAATAGACCATAAAGAGACCATAGAGTTTTAACCATCAGTTAAAGTGCCTGTCAAATCTCAGACTTACAAATCTTGGATTATCTATAAACAGCTTGTATGCATATATTTTAACATCATGTCAACCTTAATGTCAACTTTGATAGTTTCGTTAGGGAGCATTTTAGAGCAAAACCGTCAAGTTAGGGTATACGAATTGACAAATAGTGGCAAGGAAGGGAGAGGCAGCAGAGTGAACTGGCGACGAATGTGAACGCAGTTCACTATTTACCACACATGAACGTGGGATCTGAACGAGAACGTCAACGTGAACGTGATTCTGAATGCGAATGCGAATGCGAATGTGAACGTGGGTGATGCATGGCGTTGAAAATGTTTAGGCCTAGTGTCTGGTGTCGCATTCATTGCCATTCATTCGGTTGCTGCCGTTTCGTGGTTGCCTATTGCCAGTTGTTGTTGCAGCTTGGCATTGATAACCATAAAACGGGGTCTCACGTATCTCTGAAACGGTTTGTGACAGATTGATGGAAGGCATGAACTTAGCTGTATAAATATCCCATAGATGATGCAACTATAACTAGTTACTAGTTATAGAAGGTCCATTATCTACAACTTCTCTATGTGGGTGGGTTTCAGCTCACTTCTCAGAGACATTTTTATCGAGTATATCTACTAGATATATGTATGTATATCATGGAATATCATATTATTAATATGATATATATCATATAAAGTATGCCCAGGGTATCTGCTAGTCGTGCTGTTTTAGTGCCTGCTATTGCTTGTGGCTAACATGCAAGCTTAGGATTTGGAAAACAATTTTACTGTTAGTGGAATGTCAACGTCAGGCCCGTGCCTGGCTCCAACTTTTAGCAAACACCCAACTCACAACCATTCAGTCGCTATCTCTCTATCACTCACTCTCTCTCTCTCTCTCTCTCACTCTCTCTCTCTCTCTTTCTTTATCTATCTATCTCTGTCCGCTTCTCGCCAATCTATTCGTGCCGAAACGTAAAATTTAAGCGCGCGCGCGGAATTCACATCACTAATTAGTGATGTGCAATAATCGTGCGGCAACTGCATGATGCCCATCGAGGGGGCGTGCCAGGCTAGAAGTATTGTTTCATTGTTCTCTACGCCCACGATTACCTCCTCTCCCCCCCTCGCCGCTGGCTGTTTCAGAGATTTGCGTCCCGCAACGCTGTTCGCTTCAAAAATTGCAACATTGTTAATCAACTGTGCGTGTCGCATAAGTTGCTTTTGCGGGCTCAATACTATTTTTTTCTTTTTAGAGTGGGCAGAGTTGGCGTTCTGCTGGGGAGCCTCTCCATTTTGGTGCTGTTTTTGGCAATTCGTTTTTGGGCTAGCCTCTGTCAACTTAATGGGGCTTTAGCCCATTCGATTGCACATTTTGACCAGACGCTTCAAAAATGGCCAACATTATTGTGGCAGCAAAAGGGGAGGTGGGGAGACGTGACACGAGTCACGAGGTGTCCAAATGAAATTCGAAAGTGAGTTCATTCATATGGGAGCGTAACTGAAGCTCGCTGAGGTCTGATTATATTTTGGAACTTGGGGAAGATAATGATGCGTGATTGATTGCTTAAGGGCAGGAAGGATTGATTGATTGATTGATTGATTGCTTGATTGCCGAAGCAACTAAGAAATTAATTGATTAATCGAGTAATATTAGATGCTAGATTATCCGAGTAATCATTGCATAACTAAGTGATTGATTGATTGACTAATTGTAACTTTTTGGCAAAGTGTTTGATTGACTGCCTCGCAGACGAAAGCCATAGGTAGTAATTAACTGATTGATGGATTGTTTAGTGGAGTGACTGAAGACTGATTGATTGATTGACAACTGTCTATTTATTGATAAGGTGAATGATTGACTGTTGATTAAGTCAATCAATCATTCTGAAAGTCAATCATGAATGATGACTTAGTAGAGTAGTAGATTTAGTAGAGCTTAGTAGAGTGACTGAAGACTGATTGATTGATTGACAAATTTCTATTTATTAGCAACGTCAATAATTGAATATTGATTGACTCAATCAATCATTCAGACAGTCAATCATGAATGATGATTGCTTAGTAGAGTGACTGAAGACTGATTGATTGACTGACAATGGCCTATTTATTAGCAAGGTGATTGATTGACTGATAATTGAGTAAATCAATCAATTTGACAGTCAATCATGACTGATGGATTGCTTAGTGGACTCACTGAAGACTGATTGATTGATTGACAATTGTCTATGTATTAGCAAGGTAAATGATTGACTGTTGATTGAGTCAATCAAAGATTCAGACATCATCAATCAGCTGCTTGAGTGAATTACTGCTGTCTAATAAAATGATGGACTGACAAATTGCTTGATTAACTAATTAAATTCTTCACACTGCATGCAAAGCATTTAACAACACTGCAAAACATTTTGATTGCAAGTAAAATCGAAAATAAAAACGGTTTGATGCACAGACTTCATATATACCCTATACATAGTCGAGCTTTTTTTCTGAGAGGCTTTGTCCCTGGTTTTTACGTTTCATTTGCTGCAGCGTGTAAATAAAAAGAGCTACAATTGCAATTCTTACACATTGCTTGTGCGTGTGTGTGTGTGTGTGTGTACTGTTGGCAATATGGTTGCATTTAATTGACCAGAAAAACAGCATAGAGTAGAGAGACGCCTAATTGAAATTTCATGTTCGGAAATAAGTGGCAAAATGGTGAGACGAGACAAAGAGGGGACAAACGCGATGCGCTAAAACTGTGGCAAAATAAGAAATGAGATGGGAGAAGAGAGAGAAGAGAGCCAACTATTTGGGTGTTCCACTATCTATTTAGGCTACAAACTATGAACAGGCATCATGTGCAATGAATTTAGATCAAATACATAGAAAACCTAATGAAATATCTAATTGTCTTTGATTGTCACAAATCGAGTTGAGTGAGGGAGAGCTACAAAGTGGGACAAAGGAGTTTAGTGTGAAGCCAATTGCAGGAGAAACTCCAAGTTTTTTCATATTTGTAATACGTTTTTTAGCAATTGGAGGCGAAGGGGGCGTGGTATTCAAAATCTGTAGAATACAAAATCTTTGTATACATCAAATGCATAAGCACAGTAAATCTGAAAGTATAATTGCGTTCAAATTAGGCTGAAAAAACGAAGTCTATTTATCGATTATTCTCGATAAGAAAGTAATCAGGTGAGCTATCGGAAAAAAGAGATAAACTTGTATTGCGTATAGTATATACGAGTATACAGACAAAATTTCAGCTCTCTAGCTCATATATATTCTGAGATCGACGCACTCATACGGACGGATAGACGTACAGCACTATAGCGAACCAGCTCGTCGCCCTAGCTAAGAATATGTGTATATACTTTGCGGGATACCCGCTGATTCCTTCTGCCTTTTACATACTTTTGTACAGAAACTGATTTCTCACTTTCAATGGGTTCGGGGTATACAACAAGCCTGGCAAGAAATGCCAAATTTCGTGTCCAAATTTTGTTAAAAAATATAGCCTAGGCAGCTCAATCAGGCGGCTAGCTTAACTCAACAAACAAATCCAAAAAAAAACTTTATATTTCGAGAGAACAAAAGTAGAAATTCAACAACTGACCATGCAGAAATATTGTAAAACGGGGGACAAGACCATGGCGATGGACGATTGCGATATTGATGTATTTGGGCCACGTATCGAGGGGGGCGCGGCATTGCTAGCTAATCGCGAGCTAGCCGTGGCACTGCGAGCTGATGGGGACGAAGCCGAAGAGGAAAATCGGGCATTGGATTGTGTGGAGACCGTGCGAGCCAAACCGAACGAGTTCTGGCGCTTCATGCTGCGCATGAGCCTCGGCGCTGTGATGCATCCGTATGAGTATGCCAAGATATTGATGCAGCTGGGCTTCGAGCCGATGCCCGCCGTCATCTCGACCAACTGGCTGGGGCGTACCACCCTATTTTTGCCCAGCGCGAATCACTACTTGCGCTACATACGACAAATCGATGGAGTCCCTGGCCTGTACCGGGGCCTCATTGCCCGGGTCATGGGCAGCACCGTCTACGCTGCGTTCTCGGGAAGCCTGGTCAACTTGCTCGGCTGGAGGCACCTGGAAACGCAGACTCATCCCTTTCGCAACTATCTCTGCAATATGCTGCGCGACGCACTCATCCTTACAACCGGACTGGCCATCTCGCATCCGTTCTACGTCATCTCGGTGCGCCAGATGGCTCAGTTTGTGGGCCGCGAGGTGATCTACTCGAGCCTGAAGGGCAGCGTCGAGGAGATCCTACAGCAGGCTGGACCGCTCGGCTTGTATGTGGGCTTTGTGCCGCGCCTCCTCAGCGATCTGGGCGTCCTCTTCTGTACGAGCACCCTGAGTGCCCTTTGCGCTCGCTTCGGGCTGTTCAACTCCAGGCGCAGGGAGTACAACTCGGTGCTGATTCAGTTCGGGGCCGTCATGCTGTTCTATCCGCTTCAGGTAGTGGGCGCCTGCATGGCCTGCTCTGGCTCAGCTGTGGCAGCGGGCGCACCACCCTATATGCCCGTGTATGGTCAGTGGGTCGACTGCCTCTCGGATCTGGTAGTACGCGGAGATCATTATCGTGGCGCCTTCATGTTTCGCCGCGTCCTCTCCAAGGTGCAAGTGCAACGCTCCCGCGATCCATTCACAGTTTCCCGCCTGATGTAGTCGACAAAATGGAGAAGAATACATATATTTATTATAGTTCGTTTGGTTTGTCAAAAGCTTTTAAAATTTGCATTATATGAAATCGTTTCTGTTTCACCCGAAACTTTTCAAGTTTTTCTTATTTGTAATCTAAGTGGATTTTGATCTAGGATCTTTTTTTATATCTATGGCTTAATCTGTATCTGTATTAAATTATCAAATTATTCCTCATGTTTATACCCTGAACCCATTGAAAATGGGAAGTTGGGGTATAATCTTTTTGTGAAAAAGTATGTAACATGCGGAAGGAATCATCGCAGATCTCATAAAGTACATATATTCTTGAGCAACGACGAGCTGAGTCGATATAGCCCTGCCCATCTGTCCGCCCGTCCACCTGTTCGTCCGTCCGTCCGTATGGACGCCGAGATCTCAGAAGATATAAGAACTAGAGAGCTGAAATTTTGTATGCACACTCGTGTATACCATACGCAGCACGAGTTTATAATAGTCTTTCGATGGCTCACTCGATATATTTTTTATCGAGAATAATCGATAAATAGATTTCGTTTTTTCAGCCTAATTTGAACGCAGTTAGACCTGGAGGCTTCAGATTTACTGTGTATATACATATGATCAATACAAACATTTTGTAACCAACAGATTTTGGATACCACGCCTCTTCTCTTCCCAAATTTGTGAAAAACGTATTTCAAGTACTAGAGACTTGTGCTTTGGAATGTACATACATTTGAACATTA